ATCTATCTATCTATCTATCTATCTATCTATCTATCTATCTATCTATCTATCTATCTATCTATCTATCTAATCTCATTTTACATTTACAATAACAGTCGGTAATACCTAAAAATGTGAGCTTATAATGCATTTGCTAAATCAGGATATTGAGTTGCAAATCTATAATATTTTTTTTTGTAAGGAAATACATTTGGAACAATAATGGTATTCAAAAAGTTGCTTCAAAATCATATTTTATTTAATAATCTGCATGATATGAATATAAATAATTTTTATTCTTCTAATGTTCTTATATTAATTCTATGCGGATTCAAGCAATGTTTCTCAGACTTGGCAACATTCAAATAAGTGGAATTCAACTCCCAGTATTCTCAGCAACAGGAATTATTGGAAATGAAGCCCCTACTCTTTTAAGCTGCCAAGGCTGGAAACTGAAATACTAATCTGTAGTTCATGAAACGGTCAACCAATATATTCTAGAAAGCCATACAGAGTTTTTCAGGACAATTTTTATCAGGCTAACCTTTTTAAAAATTAAATAACTTCTTCAGCATATAGATATGTTCTGCCACTGCCTTTGGGTAAAAAAATTTTAACCTCCCAATTTAGCCCATAACCCAGGTGTCTTCGGTTGCTCCTTAATCCAAATACTCAAAATATGCAGATGTAACAATTGGAGAACCCTTAGGCTTCCAATATAAAATGTGTGAAATTTTGCAAGATACAGTTCCAAGACTATCTCCTGATGATTGAGGGAAATAAAATAAAAAAAGTTCTGAAAAAAGGTGGATTGAATCATTTCTTAAAGAGACAAATCCTTATACACAATGAATTGAGTACCATACAGCAGGCCTTCAACAGTTAATTGAGACAGATATGGAAGTATTACCTTTATGGTTTGCAAATCTAATTAATTTGTTGTGCCTTTTATCAGAAGTTGATTTATTTGATGACTACAGAAGGCCAATGTTTGGAAGTAAATCCTAGCATTTGCTCAATAGATCTATTGTTAATATTTCAATTATGGAAAAAAATGCTTTTTGGTGAAAGTTGGGACTTCTGTTTTACAAAACCAATCTCTATTTTTTCTTAAACAAATAGAATTAAGGCTTCTAGACATCTGGGAAGGCCGACTTTGGATGGAGAAAAGATAGCAACAACCTCTGCATAGAATAGAACAAAAATAGGCTGGTGGATGAGGATAGAAGATGGAAGTTAGATTTAGAAAGAGGGAGGACTATATCTCTGGTAACATAGTAGAGAAGCAAAAATATACTGCGGCTTAGCTTCTTTAAAGATAAAATGG